ATATATATTTATATATATTTATATTTATACATATTTGTAAAATGTTAATTTATAAAATAATTCAAGATAAAAAACATAATTATTATGTTTCCTAATTATATTCATCTTACTGTAAAATGAGTAGTAACTTGAAACTCATGTTGTTGATTAGATAACGTTCGCTTGTAATTATATGGGATATTTGTACTTTTTTTTATTTTCTCCAAAGACAATTTTTCACTGAGAAAATTAAAAAATATTTAAACATTAGTTTTTAAATTGTTGTTAAATTTGTTAAACATTAGTGTTTAAATTGGTTTTTAAATTGTTAAAATTGATTCAAAATAATTACCTTGCCAAATTAAATTTCCTGTAATGGGGATCAAATTTATGCTCATTTTCGACGTAATGAACATCTCTCAATGAATTAATAGCTTCTTCATTTTTGTCAAATGCTATCTAGATAAATATTCAATTGTATTAACATCAACTATATCGCACATTCGATTATCATTACCTGTGTAAAATTTTCGAGATCTTGGGCGCGTGCTAAAAGTCGATATTCTCTTTCTTGTAAAGCCTGCTGCTGCACTTCAAGATATTTAATTTTTTTTTGCCATTTCAGGCGTTCTTGATTTGCGAGTGTAGTGGCATCTTGGGCTGCTTTTATAGCAGCTGCTAACTATAAAGTAATTTTTTATTTTTCTAATGTATTTTATTTCATAGGTTTATCCTTTTACCTCTATTTTTGTAAAGTTATCCGAATTACTTTTAATTGTCTTTAAAACTTCATATTGCTTCTTTTTAGCTGCGATCACTCCTTTCTCCTTCGTTAAAGTCTTTAGTTGTTTCTCTTGTTCGTTGAACCAAGATTCTCTCAAAATCTTATAAAATATTGCATATAAATATAATATATATAAAAATATAAAAATTTTTTAAATATAATAATATTCACACAAGTATTAATTATCCATATTAAATGATTACCTACCTGTAAATGATTACGCTCCCATTGTACTTTTTCTTCAAACATTTCTTTTTCATGTGACAAAGATTGTTCTCTTTTTTGTAATGTTTCCAATGTTTGATTAAGCTCCACACTTTTTTTCTCTAATTTGAGCATTAATTGTGTAACGTGCGAATCTAATTTGTCTGCTACTTTCATTATTTTCTCGTGTTCTTGTTCCAATAATTTCTGTTGCTTTTTGATTTCTACATTTTGTACTGTAATAAAATTAAATAAAGTGAATAAGCATAAATATGCATGAAGCATGAATAAAACTATGAATTATTTAAACTATTTATATAATAACATCTTAACATACTTTGCATGTCTTCCTCCTGATTTTTTAAATAATATTCTCTTAACTTTACACTTTGGTCGTCCCTCTGATCAGTCTTTTCTTGCACAATTTTTATATTTTCTATAATAAAATCAGCTTTTTGTAACAAATCTTGCAAGTCAGTCTTGTGAGCCGCTATGGTTGTCATAGCTAAATTCTCTACCTCTCTCATTTTTAATATGTTTTCTATCGTGTCAAAATGCTCTTTTTGCAGCAGTCTTACGTTTTGAAAATGGCGTTCATAAATTTCTTCTATAAATTGTGTATGTTCTTTCTAAATAAAATAAATCATGTTAAACATTAACTTTAATTATAGCAATATAATCAATGCCACACTGACAATTTTTAAGTAATAAAAAATTTTATGCCTTTAAATTCTGTACTTCTTCTTTATAAAATGTCTCAATTTGTACTTCATTGTTTTTCAATTTTTCAATTTTTGCTTCATAATTTGTCTCTAAACTCTCAAGTTCTTGCTGCATTTTCTTTTCCATTGTGTTTGTTCTTTCTTCCAAGAATCCTATTTGTCGTCTTTGGAACAATTGTACATTTTTGAAAAAGAAAAGAAATATTTTAATATATATGTGTATGTGTTATTTATATATATATAAAATAATGAGCTACTTACTTATATGACTCATCTAGAATCATTATCTCATTTTTATATTTTTCATTTAAGTTATGTAATGTTACCGACAAATGAGACTTTTCTAATTCTAAATTATGAATTGTTTTTTCATAGTCTATACTTTTATGAATTAAAATATTACGTACATCTTCCAAATTTGTATTTATATCAGAAGTAATTGGAATAGCCATGGTATTGGACTGCTACAAGATTAAATCTTAATTAAACTTTTGAAGCTTTTACAGATATTTTCTTCAGAGATGCCAAAGGGTCTATGGATTATCAGCATTGTGATCCATTGCTAATGTCTAGTAATGGATCCACAATGAAACCTGCAAATCCTTTAGCATCTGAATAAATCTTAATTGCAAAATAATCATAAATATAAATTTTTCTTATTAAAATAAGTAACTTAAAGACTTACTTTAGCATAATTTTCTTCAATTTCCTGTTTCTCATATTCATTGATTTCATTCTCTTGATTATCTGATAAATTTAACAATTTTTTTTTTTCTTGTGGCAGTAATTTGGTTATCATTATCTTATCATCTTGTGGCATCTGAATAATGAATAATTATTGTAATAAATAATTAAAACAATAATAATATTTTTATCATACATCAATGATACTGCTTACTTCTTGAATAATTTTATCAGAACTAGCTCTCCTATATTTGCTAAACAATTCTTCAGTAGGTGTTACTCTATCCTGAACGTAATCACTACTTTTTTTATCTTCTGATACTTTTTTAGATTCCAACCAATTTGGTAAATATTCTTTAATTTCCAATTTCTGTTTATCAAGATCTGGAGATACTGTATGTGTTTCTATTGGCTTTGAAATAACAACAGAATTATCAAACATGAGTAGAAAACAAAATTAATAATATTATCAGACATTAAAAATATATGCAAACCTAATGATTTATATTATTTTGTATATTTACAGTTTGCTTAGCTTGATTTGATGTTGTATCCAAGAAAAATAAACCTAGAGGATCATTAATGATCTCTGAAGTTCTTTTGCCTCTACGAGATTCTCTTGTTCCAAAAGATGTTGGTGCATATGTCGAATGCTGTGATTGTGTCTTAGAAACTTCGGCTGAATGTTGTGTAACATCCAGTTCTAATTGTACAGATCTTTTACTAACTGATTCTTTCAATGGTAATGAAGTATGAATATCTCCAAATAGATCTTGCATTAATGACAATTTTTTTATCTTATCATCCGATTTTAGTCTCTCAATTTCGGTAGTATTTAATGCAGACATCAAGCCAATCTCCTTTTCATCTGACTTTGAATCCGATAACAACTCATTGGAAGCTTTCTTACTAAACAAATCATCCATTATACTTCGTTTATCTTTTACTGTTACTGGAATCTTTTGCTTCGATGACAAATCTTCCTTATCGGCTAGCAAACTAACCAATGGATCATCCTCATCTATAAGTGAGAAATAATAAAATAATTTATACATCTATAAAATTAGCTACAAAACGCTACAACTTTATTAAACGCTTCCAAATGTGTTTTATTCAGATAAATAATTTATAAAATGTATATTGATTAATATTTTTTAATTGAACCTGCAAATGTAATTCTTTTTCTGTTATTTTCAATGGATGGATTTTTTCTAAATGCATTATTGAAAAGTTTGTCATCCATGCTATCTATATCCTCCATCATTTCTACCTTTGACCACCTTTGACTTTTGATTATAGGCTTGTTCTTTTTAGCTGAATTTTTGTACCAGAAGAGAAAAGGAAGAAAGATAAACTAGTACAAAAATTCAACCAAAAAGAAGATCTAAAGCGGGGAGCACAGATTCTTGCATAATGCATAACACATAAGGCGTAAGAAAATGAACCAATCAAAGAACTTTTTCTTAGTCTTGCTCACACTTTCGACTCATTGCTATTCCCTTTCTAGTAGTATAAGCTCTATAGCTCTATAGTACACTCATCCAAAAAGTTGCAATCATGGAAGACAGAAACCAGGGGATCGATTCTGTATCTTACTAAAATACTGATAATTTCATTGGTCAACACCTAGTAAATTTGCTTGTGTAATTTTCACCTTGTTTGAAGATACAGAATCAACCCCCCGGTTTGGAATACACCCTGGAATCGATTCTGTATCTTCAAACAAGATGAAAATAACAAAAATTACAAATTTACTAAGTGTTAACCAATGAAATTATTAGTATTCTAATTAGTTCGCTCACTTTTGTAATTTTCACCCAGGATCAATTCTGTATCTTGAAATGAGATAAAAATTATAAAAGTGAGCGAATTTATTAAAATATTGATTATTTTATTGGTCAACACTTAATATATTTAATAATAAAAATCAATACGTGGTTCAAATATTAAAACAAATAAATTATTATTTTTCTAATTGTAATATGATTAAAATATAAAAAAAATGTTCACTACAAACATCTTGCGTTGTGGTTATGGCGTTTAAAGAAATTTATTCGACTTAATATATTTGCTCACTTTTAGTAATTTTTACCTTGAGATCGATTCTGGGGATCGATTCTGTATCTTGAAACGAAATAAAAAAAGTGAATGAATTTACTAGAATACTGATAATTTTATTGGTCGACACCTAGTAAATTTGCTCATTTCTGTAATTTTCACCTCGTTTCAAGATACAGAATTAATCCCTCTGTGTAGACTAGTGTCATCAAATGGAAAAT